AAATGATTGGCTCTTAATGTAATGTAATTATTTTCTATCAATTACATAATGTGATCTGAATTGCAATAACTAGTAAAACAGCTTAAACAAAACTTTGCAAAAAAATGTTTTAGGCACATTAGACAAATACCTTTGTTTTGCATGTACCTTCTGTTTTTGAATTAGCAAGTATTGTTAAAATTTTCTCTTTTTTTGTCCCAGAATAAGAGAGTACCAAAGACAGCAGCACAGCAGCAACCAACAGATGCTGTACAGCCCAGCATTGCAGGATTTGCAAGACCAGAATTGACCAAACAAGCAGTGCAACTTTATGATGCAAGTTCTCCAAGACAACAAGAAATTCGTAATGCCATCATTAAGGATCTCCTCATTGGCTGCACTTTACCTCTGTCAATTGTTGAAAATCAGCATTTCAGGCATTTCTTGAAAGTAATGGACAACAAATACACTCCCATTGCAAGAAAAACAATCACTGAAAAACACATTCCTTTGTTGGTTGATCAGGTGAAAGATTCAATTAAAAGGAAGCTCCAGACCCAATCATCTGTGTCCATAACTGCTGACATATGGTCTGATCGAACCATGCGGTCCTTCTTCGGTGTTACAGCCCATGGATTAAACCAAGATGGAAATCAGCTGGAGTCCTTTCTTTTAGACTGTAGGAGGTTTTGTGGTAGACACAGTGGAGACAACATAGCCATGGCATTTGACGAGATCATTGATGAATATAACATAGCAAGTAAAGTCAGGTACATTATTACTGATAATGCAGCCAATATGAAGTGTGCATTCAAAGTCAAGCTACCACAGGAAGAGCAGCACAGTGATGGCAGTGATGCAGAAGAGGAAAACTTAGATGATGAGAGTCTTCGGGAGGATGTGACCTGGGAAGACAAGACTATCATGGTGAGAACAAGACAAAGGCTGTCATGTTTTGCACATTCTCTGCAATTAGTTGTACATGATGGAATGAAAGAAGCCAAGGCCTTTTCTTCAGCACTTGCCAAAATGTCAAAATTAACCATTACTTCACACAAGTACTACATTTAAAGAACGATTTGAGGCTACATTTGGGACAGATAGATCAATTCCTGCAGCTACATCCACACGCTGGAACAGTACATTCAAGCAGCTACAGGCCCTTACAGCACTTGACCATAGGGATCTCACACAAATTTGCAGTTCAGACTTTCAACATGTTCTTTTTTCAGTTCGTGAATGGAATCAACTGAAGGATTTAGGTTCTGTTCTCTTTCCTTTTGCAGAAGCAACAGACCTTACAGAGGGTGAGAAAATGGTCACTATTAGTATGGTGGTCCCCACTGTACTTGATTTAAACACTCATCTGCTCCAAATATCAGAGTCATGAAGTCTTTGCCGGCCACTAGCCACAGCCCTTCGGCAATCACTTTTAAAGAGATTCTCTGGGATCTTTGTGAGAACCAAAATGGTTGAGCAAAATGGGAAAGAGGACCAGATCAACCATAATGTCTATTTCTTGGCAACAATGCTTGATCCTCAGTTTGGCCTGAACTGGGTTGATCTAGATGTAACCAACAATGAGAGTCCAGATTCAGTGAAGAAATTCAGAGAGGATCTGAAAAGAACACTTATAGGTAATTCATTTTATTTGCTTTAATAACCTAAAAAAGATTTGTCTGCATTTTATTCTGAAGCAAACTTCTTATTTGTCTACTATATACTCTGTATACTGCAGAGCATAAAAATATGCACACTGTAAAAAGTGATTTTAGAGAGAGGTAAATATAATTATGTAAATCGTATAAAATGTACTTGATTATTGTAGTCAGCCAAGGAATTATCAAGTAATGGGTAAATTACACACGTACTACCTATTTGTTAAAAGTAAAAACTGTTACATAGAAAAATAGGGTAAAATACAACCAGAACCGAGTCCTGTACTGCAAATCGCGTATGCGCCAAACCGCGCGTTTGACTAAGCAGGACGGGTAACTTCACGGCCATCTTCCTCTTGCTGCCAGCCGCCATCGAATTCATGGAATTCATCTGCGAAAAGGAAGGTAAGCTATTATATCCAAAGCAGCTGAAGAACACGTTTGAGACTTTTCAAAAACTTTTTTCGGAGCTTGACGGGGTGAAACTACTGAAGAAGGTCCACAGCCTCAAAAGTAAGCTCATGCAATAGACACAGACACACACACACACCATTGCTCTGACTTCCCCAGATTAACAGAAAAGGAACACTAGAAAGTGGCCGGCCTGATCAATACCACTGAATGTAGCCTGAAGAAATTTGATCTTTTCCTCTATACCCTCCTGAGCTGGTGATGCTGTTTGTGGGGTTGTTTAGATCTTAAGAGATTTCATGTCTTTTATTTCAGTTGAGTTCTTGTTTGTCTTTCATTCAGTGATTCTGTTTGTTAACAGCAGCTGTTCATCACTAATGCTCAATCAGCACTTAATTAATCACTTAATTAAGTGGTTTAAGCCAAGGCACTTGGTTTACTCAAAAGTTTTGAGGTAATCGGTTACCACAAAAGTTTTGAGTTCTCTGAACTTGTCGGGTTTTACAGTGTGTATGTAAATCGCTGGGTTCCACTAACAGTCTTTTCACTAAATTGTGTCTCCCTACAGTCACAGAGCATTGAGAAAAAAAGGGATGCAGTTGTCTGCTGCCTCATTGGCTACCTGGGTGAAAGACAAGAAGATCTTTTCCATGACTGCCAGGTATGTCATATTAATAACAAGTGACTGATTAACTCAAGGGATCCTCATGTCTTCCTCTGCTCTGCTCTCCTTGTCTCTCATCTATTCCTTTCATTTCTTCTGCTCTCCCCTCTTCTTCTCAGCTCTACTCGGCTCTCCTCTGGTATACCCTCTTCTCCCCTTCTCCTTTCGTCTTCTGTCCACTTCCCTCTGCTCTCCTTTACTCTGCAGGATAAACTGAAATATATTGGAACGTCATCTTAAATAATATATGTAAATTAAAAATATTTTTAACATGTAGGAATGTGGGACCACACAGACAAAACAATGAAGGTGATTGTGAAGCACAACATCATGGCTGAGGAGGATCCATCAGATGTGTCTATTGTGATTGAGGGAAACACAGTGATGGAAGGATGTGGAAGTCGAACAAAGGCGTGTGTTCTGCTGATGGGACTGATATATGCCCTCAACCTTGAATATCCAAAGCAGCTGAAGAACACGTTTGAAACTTTTCAAAAACTTTTTTTGGAGCTTGACGGGGCGAAACTACTGAAGAAGGTCCACAGCCTCAAAAGTAAGCTCATGCAATAGACACACACACCATTGCTCTGACTTCCCCAGATTAACAGAAAAGGAACACTAGAAAGTGGCCGGCCTGATCAATACCACTGAATGTAGCCTGAAGAAATTTGATCTCTTCCTCTATACCCTCCTCTTCCCCTCACCCTTAGTTTGTTTTAAAGATGTTGGTGTTCACTTGTTCTATCCTTATCTAGATGTTTGATACTGTACGTGCACAGGAACAATGTTGTAGAGTTTCCGTGTGTGCTTTTGACTGTTAAAATAGAATAAGTGGCCTCTGAAAGTGTTACAGTATTTGAAGCTGTAAGCTTAGCGAACAGGTTAATTCCTTCAAATATTGTGTGAAGAAGTTGTATTGCACTTTATTCTGTGTTTGGATCATTGCTGCATGTAAACAAGGCGGTTCAGTTATTTGTTGTATAAATGCACCTGTACTGCAGATTTGGTAAGTCACTGTTATGTAAAGTTAAAGAGTTTGGATACAAAAAAATCCTCATGTGACTGGACACCTCTAGGAGCTCTGATCTTACTTATTTCTTCTGCTCTCCTTTCTTCTCTTCTCTGCTCTGATCTCCTTTTGTTCATTTCCTCTGGTCTTCTCCTCTATCCTCTGCTCACTTCTCTTCTCTGATCTCCTTTTTGAGCAATGTGGGAAGATGCGTGTCGTCATCTAGAATCCTCATGTGACTGGACACCTCTAGGAGCTCTGATCTTACTTATTTCTTCTGCTCTCCTTTCTTCTCTTCTCTGCTCTGATCTCCTTTTGTTCATTTCCTCTGGTCTTCTCCTCTATCCTCTGCTCACTTCTCTTCTCTGATCTCCTTTTTGAGCAATGTGGGAAGATGCGTGTCGTCATCTAGAAACAACATTTGAAGATGTTAGTTTAGTGAGTTATATAACCTGTTCATACCTTGAAAAGCTGTGTGAAGCTATTTATTGCACTTTATTCTGTTTTTTGATCATTTTATGGATTAAAAACAGTGAAATTTAACTTCTGAAAGTCTTTTTTTGTGGTGGGGGTGAGAATCTTAGTAATAGTAACTCACTGATATTAATTATTTTTGAATAGTGATTATTTGGGGTAAATTTTACCTTCTCTGAATAAGGAATAGGTACTACCTGATATTAATTAACTTTGAATAGTAATAATTAGGTATTAGCTACTTAGCGATCAAGAGTAAATTTTACCCAATTTTAATAAGTAAAAGTATGAAATGTGAGGTGTATATATAACCCAATTTATTTTAGTATTTAATAGCTTTTTAGTTCATTTATTTTCTACTCACAACAGGGAATTAAATCTACCCAAAAAAAGTGGATGCAAATTGTTACCTCAGATTTATTGGGTAAATTGTACATGTTGCTTTTTACAGTGCACCAAACACGATTTACTTAATTACAGTGTGTTTGTGGTGTAAAAGTGTTTTAATTTGGAACCTTGGATTATACTCCAGGGTACACTTAAAAATAAAGGTGCTTCAA